CAACTACTTAAATTTTTTGATTTGGATATTTTATACAAAAAAATTCATAATTAATTAAACAATATAATTTTTATATTTATACTTACTATTCACATAGTTTTTTAAATATATGTAAAATTTTACCAAAATAATTATTTTATGGAATCACGTTATAGTCAAATCAAATTTCTGAATAAAAATTTTGAAACGACACATATTTTGAAATGATATAATTTAATTTATTATCAATTATGTGCAACACACAGGATGTGTACTAATTTTAAATAAACATTTTTATGTAATTTTGCATAATTTAAATTTTATATAATATTTTCAATAAATTATATAGGTATATTGTATTACATATTGATTCCATGTTTCTAATTTATAAATATTATTTATTGTGGCTTTTTAATTTATAAATATTAACTAATATCTCTTACCCGTGCATCGCACGGAATTCGTACTAGTATATATAAAAAGGTTTGATTATTTTTTAAATAGTAACTATTTCCCTAAAAAAAATCTATTTACTATTTGGAGAAAGTGATTTAACAATTTATGGTATATTTCAAATAATCACTTATGGAAATTGCTGCTCATTATTAAATGAAATAATTAAATCATAATCTATACTTATATAATAAGAATTAACATTTATCAAATAGTAATTTAATTAATGGTCAAAGTCAGTTTTGCATTAATTACTTTCCAAAATCGGTAACTTTTATGTCCTTTTCATAATTCTAATTAATTATGTCCTTTTCACACATTTAATTAATTCATTAATTACGACATAATTATCATAAATCATTCCATCTGAGCTTTTATCGTTAAAATGTATAGCGATATGTTATGACCTTATCCCATTGATATTTCCACAAAGTGTCCTTATCGCGTTCTATTTTTTGGTAACCACTCTATATCAATGACCGGATATTTGGTTAATGATAGCACACGTCTTTATTTCAAGAAGCGGATATTCTTTGACTTTTAATTAATCTGAACTGATTGCCTTGACTTTTCAATTTTTAAAAACTCTTTTGTTAAATATTTCGGCTTAAGATTCGGATTTCATTATACAAGTCATCGGATTGTTTGAATGAAAATGAATGAAAAGAACACAAAAAAAAGGTAGCCTTATTCATATAACAAATCCTAAAATATTAGTTTGTTCACCAAAAAGAGACAAATCCTAGAAATCCTAAAATATTAGTTTGTTCACCAAAAATATTAGTTTGATTTTTAGGATTTGTCTCTTTTGAAAATATTAGTTTGTGATAATGAGGAGTTACCAAATAATCAAACTCATAATGTTGTGTACAAGGAGGTTTTTAACAATATATGATTGTTACCGAACTTTTTATGATTCAACAATGTTCCTATGTATTTTAATGATTTCAATTTCGATCCTAATGCACGTGAGGTTATATTATTCTTCCAAATTTTACAACTCGTGCATCGCACGGGTTACGTACTAGTACACATTGATAGGGATTTATATTGAACCAACATCAATTTCTTCTTCTCTCGCGAAAAAAACAGCTCGACACAGCTCTCTCTCTTCTGAATCGCGTCGCCTTCCTCGGTGATGGTGCGGCGCCGGCCGGTGGTCGCGTTCGACCGCCGTCCCTCCTCTACAAATCTGGACCTATGGTGTTGCCGCGATGTGCTTGCGTTCGAAGGTCTGCCTAACCCTAGTTCGTCGGAGTCGGAGCGATTGGTGGAGACGGGCTCTTGGGTCGTCAATTGGACTGCAATTGGTGTATCCCGGTCTCGATTGGAGGTTAGTTCCTCTTCAATTTCTGGTTTCTATTGGTTTGCTCTGTATTTGTGCGAATGGAGGGCTCGGGCGATTTCTTTTTTCCGGTGATGCCCCGTTCGGGATTCTCTCTTTCGGGTGCTGTTGCCGGTGGTGTGCGGTGATGCTGATGGGTTTGTGGGTTGTGAGGCGGGTGGAGCTCTGCTTGTGTGTCGGGGCTGAGGGCTCGAACCCCCCTCCCCTTTCCGTCTAGTGGTGTTAGACGACGGGGTTTTGGCGTTCTTTAGCTCGGCTAGTGGTGTTAGGTGGGCTCGGGAAGTGCTAGAGTGGGAGTGGGTTCGGTTGTCCCTCCGGTTGAGCTGGGTTTGTTTCGGAGTTTTGTTTGTGTTCGGGTTCGACTTTTTGTATAGGCCTTGTGGCAGTTTCGAGAGCCGTTCCTGGAACTTGGACTATTCTCTGAAATCGACGGTTCTCCACTGGTTAGGCCGGCTGTTTTGCCGTGGAAGGGCTGTGTGTTTTTTTCTTTATATTGTTATGTGGTAGGTTTGTATTTTGGTTTGGGCGTTTTGCTTGTGTGTCGATGTCCTGTGTTTTTGGTTTGGGCCGTTGGCCCCTGTGAGCCCGAGTGTCAACTTTATTACCCTGTTGGGGCCCGACACTCGGGTATTACCCTGTTGGGGTCCTTGTAGTTGTTCTAGTTGTTTGTGTTGTTGGTTAGTTTAGTTGTGAGTGTGTTTTTTATTCTAGCGTTGCTAATCGGGATTCTAAGCGGGCTTCTGACCTGTCCTCCCACTTTTTTAGCTGTTGGCTGCTGTGTATTCAGCCGTTGGCTGCTGTATATTCGCACATTTGTGCATTTTGATTTATAAAATTATCTATCGTTTCGAAAAAAAAAAAAATAATACACATTGATTACGGTAAGAATTATTAAAATTCAGAATTATATTAGGAACTATTAAAGTATGAGATTTTAATCAACACATTGATTATATTAGTGACTATCTAATTGATTAGATTAGTTCTTATTTAAAGGTATTATCCATTTAGCACATTATTGATATAGTTGAAAAGGTTTAGAAATTATTTGTTGACAAAAACAAATAAAATCACAAAAATCAAATTTATCTGATTTACTAAAATCTGTTTGTATGCCACAATCACTAGGAATTATTAAAATCGGAGACAACACATATAGTACATTCGTGATTAGTCACATGAATTTTTAAATATATAATAAGATTCTACTAAAATAATTATTTTATGGAACCACATTGTATTCAAGTAGAATTTCAAAATAAAAATTTTAAAATGACACTTATTTTGAAATAAATATAATGAAATTTATTATCAGTTATGTGCACTGTACGGGTTGTATATTAATTTTAAATAGACATGCTTTATGCAAATTTGCACAATTTAAATTTTATATAATATTTTAAATAAATTAATATATATTGGTTCCATATTTTAATTTATAAATATTATTTAATGATCATTTAATTTACAAATATTAATGAATATGTCTTTCCCGTGCATCGCACGGGATTCGTACTAGTATAAAAAACAAAGTCAGGATTATGAAATTTGAACAATCAAAAGCAGTTAGACATGGCAGTCCAAAAAATTAAAATAAAAATAAAAATTCAAATCAGATTAAACGGAAAATAAGAAGATAAACTATACGAGATTCTCATAATCCCAAACTTCCTTTTTATTATGTACATTCAAAAGAAGACGAGTATATCCCACATTAACATTGGAATTCTCAAATGTCAACAATCGGAAATGTAGATTTACGAAAAAAATGAGTATATTACAATATATTGTTGGATTCAAAAATCTCAACAATTTTACAATTGTTAAACATAAAAAGATGTTAGTTTTAATATATCGAATTTAAAAAATAAGGACATAAAAATTTTTGGGAACCTCAAATTCCTAGCATTTCCTTTTACCATTTTTTTTTAAAGAAAGTCATATATTCTTGAGATATGGATATAATATTATTGGAATAATTTTTATAACCACCAAAATCAATTAAATAAAAATAAAGTCTTCGTAAATTCTTGAGATATGATCTGATTTCCACCAGAATTGACAAATTAAATAAAATAATAAGTTTATATTCATGTAAATCCACATTTTAAAAATTGCAAAAATAAGAGCAGATACATGCACCAAAAATTCACACGTTCAAATATGTCATGGATCAACCTTTTGGCTTAATCAAGGATCTTAAAAATAGTATGAGAGTCATCTTGAAACTTTCAACAACATCTATGACGTTTGATACCTCTTACCGAAGTTATTTGAAAATAATTTTCCACGATAGTGAGTTAGTAGTATTCTTCATTATGTGATTTAATAGTGGTTGTCAATATTTTTTATTTTATTTGATTTTACGATTTTCATAGGATGGTCGCATAAATGGATTAATTTGTGGCGTTAACATTCCAAAGATGGATGACAAGTTTGAGTAGAGTTGAACATATGTCATTCGCAATTACCAATTAGAAAAAAACAATATTGATAACTACGATCTACTATCACAAAGTTCAAACTCATTATTCACGCGAAGAACAAAGCGTTAGAGTATCCCACCGATTTCCCAACGTTTTATTTTGACATCCGTAATTTTGTTACCCCGCAATATATTGCCAATGTATCTTTTCAAAAGCAAATAGTTGTGTTTTCAATTTCATTTTTAAATATATAGACATACATGTGGTTGTGTTTTATTATAATTCTCTACGTATTATGTTGTTAACGTATATCAAATCATCTAATATTATAATCATCACTGAATATTATTTCCCCGTGCAATACGGGTTATGCACTAGTAAATACCAATAAAAAAATGATATATAATACTACCAGCCCACCACAAATTAGCATTTAAATTTGTAAAAAAAAAACTCTATTTTCAGCACGATAGAGAAATATTCATTCACGAACCAACAAATAGAAATCCTTGTCAACATAGCAAAAACAACAAAACACTGCAGCAAACCAATCATGCTACCTACAAATTCATATAAAAGAACCCTAAGCTAAAAGAATACAGGAACACTGACTATTTTACAATTATAATTATAACCCTTTTTTCTTTTTTTGCGTTTTTTTTTTTTCTTTCCAGCAAATCAGATTAATCAAGAAGAGAGTTCTCCACATAAACCTGAAAATCTACGATTTGGACAGCAAAATCCTAAGGGCAAAAGAATATGACTGTATCAAGCTGGATGAATGTGCATGAACTTGTCTAGTATATTAAGCTTGAGAAAGATGACGTCAGCATGTAAGGCACATTAAATAAGGGTCCCCGTTGGCATGCCAGCTCGTGAATGTCCTTAACAATGTCGAAAACCGCATTTGGTTGTGCAAGCTTGAGGGCATTCTCGGACATTCTCATGCGTTCGTCTGTATTGCTACTAAACCACTCAGCCACAATTCTTGCTGTCTCCTTCGGGCTTCTCGTGAAAACACCCGCTCCATTTTCCACAACAAATGGAACATTCCCTTTTTCCTGATAATAATAATGCATTGAAGTTGAGGGAAAATGGAAATTATATAACAGTTAATAAAAATAAATCAGTCTTTCATATATATGTAGATGTAGATTCACTTGCTTGGCCAGGAATGTAATCATTGAGAATAATCGGAAGGCCTCTTATCAATGCCTCAGCAATCGTACCCGGTCCCGCCTAACATTACACCCAAAAAAGTTGGTTAATATCAAAAGTAAGAAAGCCTGTCCTAATTTGA